TGCAAGAAACAAATAAGCTTAAGTAGGGTATAACTTCGAGCTATACATCATAAAAGTTTAGTAGTGCATAAGACATCGAAACCAGAAGCACCTCTAGCTCACGAGAGTCTGGTATGCCATGGCAAATGCACTCATTAACCGACGTGCACACACTCTTTGGAAATCCACCATATCCTAGAGGCGACGGATATGCACCATTCTCAATTATCATCTGGTGCACTGCTTCATCAATTTCATCAGTCTTTACACCTGGCTGCCAAAAGAATCAATGGTCGTCAAACTAAGATGAAGTTCTGCATCTCGAACTACTGAAGACACATACAGTACCTCTGTTCTTCAACCTCTACCGTTTCAGAAAACCGAACAATGTGGTCATATTACCTTTACTAGAGTCCCAGCATACTGAAGCACTTGTGCTGCAAGTCTTCCAGAAGCTCTCATGCATTCTATCCCCATTTCATCATGCACTTCAGCTCCGCTCGAGATTCCAGGAGACTGCCGAGAGTCGACATAAGGAGGCTTCAAAATATTATCAGGGACAGGTCGACGGGGAGAGAGTTTCCCCGGGAGTAGACGTTTCCTCTTGGCGTTTGGTACTTCTTCTACAATTCTGATAATTCCAAATGGACATATTTCACCCAAAAAAGAAAGGAAAAAAGGGGCATACAGTTTTAGGGAAAGATCTGTCAACAGTCTGGATACTGGGATACACAACCACAAGGATCATGTTGTGATTATCGCTGGATGCAAAAGCGATAAAAATCTGGGTTGATCATTTGACGAGTTTAGTTAGAACGACCTTGGGCGACAAGGCATATGCACACATAAGAAGAGCTTCAAGCAAATCAATAGAAACAAGTGTGATTCTTTGTCACCCCAAGCCATTCCATTTGAATTCATTATGATCCAGTAATCAATACCCTTCTTCATCCGCCCAGTACCAAACAATCAACTCGGAAACAGGACACCTAGAAATATTTTCCTAACAGAAATTTGCAGCCACTAAAACTGCATCTAATGCCAAACAGGAATGCAACTACGGATTATCAACTCTTCCAAGGCGTACCTTCTATTGAATACAAGGTTGGTTAATCCAGAAAGCGCCCTGGAGAATCGCATTGACACATGATGCCCACCTCCTGTTCGACAAATTGCACACAAACCCATGGAAGTAATCAGCATATGAAGTCGTAGAGCCGAAGCTCCGGACAGAAACAATTCGCTTAGTCTGTGACAATGGAAAGAGAGAAAAATTCATGGGCAAACAGGACAAGTTAAAGTCTATAGCGAGAGAAACAGGTAGCTCCAGAAATCCAAACGAAAGTGTATAAACCATTTCAGTAAGAACATAGCTCCGAGCTAGCAGTAATTATGAGTTCGCGAGTAACTTTTCCTTGACTAAAGTTCACGCGGGAATTGAAACAGAAAGACGGAGAAGAAAGAGAAGGGAGAAGAACTGAAGAAGGACCTGTTTTGTAGCCGAAGAGATGAGGTAGGGGAAGTCTGGAAGGGAGAAGACGGTCGCCGGCGAAGGAGGAGAGAAGCCTTGGTTGCAAACCTGATGCTGCTGCCATTTTTGCTACTTAATCAGTTAATTGTCTGTTTTTCTTCTACAATACTTGGTTTTGTTATCCGTTGAACATGAGTACATGACACACATCGCTTGCAAGCAGGGAAGGAAGACGGACTGGAATATTCTTGTTCGGGCCATCATTGGCCCAATTGGAAACTTTCTGGGTACAGTCTAGTAATGGGCTGAAACTGGATTTTCTTGTCTTTCCCTTTAACTGGGCCGAGATCCTACGATAGCTGACATACATAAACCGATATCTTAGCCCGATTGACACAGCGCCTGCCGCCTAGTGGGGAAAGTTAATATGCTAACTTGAAGATTCGTTAGCAGATACTAACTGATATCCACAATACATGAACTAGTATCCAAGTACTAAAGTATCTAGAGAGCAAATATTAGTATTCAAAGTTTTCTAACTGATATCCACCATGAATCAACTATTATCCCAAATTCACAAACTAATATCTAGATCACACAGAATAGTATCCATACAACACATAATTAGTATCCAGATAACACATAAGAGTATCCAGATAACACATAAGAGTATCCATATTGAATACTAGTTGGTTGATTGTGGATATTAGTTGGTATCTACTATCTGGATACTAGTTTATGATGTTTTGAATACTAGTCTGTGCTATCTAGATACTCAGCAGACTTGGATATTAGTTCATACATTTTGGATAATAGTTAGTATCTACTAACGAATTTTCAAGTTAGCAGAATAATTAGGCTGCCGCCTAGGACTGGGATACCGAATACCGTACCAAATTTCGTACTATTTGGTTATTGAAAATCGATTTATTTTTTAGGGATTAGAATTCATATTTTAGTGTTATTCGGTATTCAGAATTACAGGATTTGAATCGGTATACACCGAAATACCGAGAAACAACAAAGTTTGTTTTAAGGGTTGGCTTCATTTAATTGTATAATCTATATTAGCATACTAATTTCATTGAATATATATATATATATATATATATATATATTTTTAAACTATTAGTGGATTTCGTATAGTAACAATTACCGAGATTTGCAATTAAACTATTACTATATTGATCAGAAAGTTATGTGGAGTTCAAGGTATAGTTAGTAAATACTCCGTTTAATACACGTATATATACCTATACGTATTTTATCCATTTTTAATTTTTAACTTCCGTATCCATATTATTGTCAAGCCGTTTTATTTTTCCGTTCATTTAATGGCTCCCGTACTAAACACGTATAAAACCCATATATCACATTTAATATCCCTATTTAATGAATTAAATTGTTAACTTTACTATTATTTATATATTTATTTATTTTAATAATAATTAATTTTATATATTTATGATTGTTGACGTACTATTAAACGTAACTTTAGCTTAGAAACAAATTAAAATACATGTACGTATTTTATACGCAACTTTCCCATACCGTATTTTACTAACTATGCTTGGATTGTTTGCTTTATGGATTTAGTGGATTTAGTGAGGGATTTGGATTCCAAATCTAATTTATTATGGAGTTGTCTCAAAGTACATTGTTTGCTAGTTAATTTTACGGGTAATATTTGTGAGCTCCATAAATTTGAAGGCTCCAAATTCGTGAGCCCTACGGACAGTGGCGGAGGTAAGATTTGAAACTACATTGTCCTCATTCATAATACAAATATATATATAATAAATATAATTGGAACTAATAATGTCAAAATGATTCATTTATAGATAAAGAACAACCAACTAATTAATATAATTATTGTTTGCATAGAAAACCATGACAAGTTTTCATATTTTGAAAGAAACGCAAAATATATTTGTTGTCTACAACCTTAAGTAAATCTCTTTCAATGTATCCCACTAAACAGTCAGCAAATTGATCCGCAATTCCACTTTGAACCTTGTTCTTATTATAACTCAAGCTTAAAAGTTTGTTCTACACTTACCCTTGCAACTGGTAGAAACAAAACTAGATTCAGAAGCAAATAACTAACGGATATTACTGATGCACTTTTGTCTCCACCATTACTCAAAGAAAATTCATCATAAACAAGTTGTTGTCGCAAATAGTATTATGAACAAAACCAATAAATTAGTTAATTTTTATAATTTAGCGAACAAGTAATGAGTTGTGTTGTAGTGATAAAAATCATTATTTTTATTTATAAGTGTGTTTTTTTCCTCCCGAGAAGTTACCCTTGTCCTGGGACAAGGACAAAGTGGGCTGGCTCAGCCCATGCTACGAACTTGCAAATCTCATGGTTTAAGGGATTATTGACACAAATATTGTTTTTTTTTAAATTACCACTAATATTGCGGATTAAATAGTATTGACGAAAATATTGTGTTTTTTGGCTAGAAGAAGGTGTTGGCGCCTTAGACTAAGGCGCCCCCACCTTAGTTCGTTTTTTTTTAACTGGCCTAGGTGCTGGCGCCAGAGACTACTGCGCCCCCACCACACTCCATTTTATTTTAAAAACCCGACCCCCACCCACCCACACAGCCTTATCTTTTCTTTCCTTCCTCCTGACCACACAACCCCTCCTTCCTTCTTCTCTTCCTCTCCCGACCAGCCTCCTCCTCCCCTCCACCACAAACTCCTTCTTCTCTCCGCCGTCGCTGCTACCTAGCCACAGCCACTAGGAGCGAGCCCGCCCCAGTGCCAGGCACCGCCGCCGCTCTGCCAGGCCCCGCCTCCGCTCTGCCAGGCCCCGCCGCCGCTGAGCAAAGCGAGAGCACCCCAGTACCAGGCCCCGCCGTCGCAGTGCCAGTCGCCGCCGCCCCAGAGTCCACCGCCGCCGCAGCCAGCAGCAGCGCCGCCGCCCGGAGATGTCCTCCGACGAAGAAGAAGTCGCCGCCGGCAGAGGCAGGGGGAGAGGCCGACGAGGTCGTGGCGGCCGTTTGCGCGGTGAGACTCTCGTCGGCGGCTTGATTTTGTTTTTTAATGGTTTGTGTTTTTTTAATGGTTTGTTGCTTCGTTTTGCAGTTCCTAGGCTTATGGATCCTTATTCGATGAGATTACCGCCGGCGACAATTGATACACGTCCGGTCGATGCGACACTTCTTTGGGGACATGGCCAACATCGTATCGACTCTGTTTGGACAAACGAGGTAAGTATTTGATAATTATTCATGTAAAGTTAATTAGCTAATTAGATTATTTTAGTTGGTGAACTGAACTGTACTGTTAGAGAATAGGATTACGTATAAGATTTTTTGAAATTAGTATAATTTGATATTAGATTAGACAGATTAGAATTAATTAGGTGAAATTAGAATTATTACGAATGAAGATGAATTAATATAAGTTTTGTGCACTATATGCTGGTGATCGATCTTACCATGTTCGAGGTACGACCATTTTAGTACCTTACCATGAGCTTTATCGACCATATCTCGAAGCGGCAGGCTTGTTAAGTGTCGTGCCCCTAGTCCCTATGAACCCCGATGCGAGTTTGATTACTGCGCTCGTAGAGCGGTGGCGACCCGAGACGTCGACCTTCCATCTACCGTGTGGTGAGATCACATTCACGTTAGAGGACGTTGTTACACTGTCCGGTTTGGCGATCGACGGTGATGCCGTCGTAGTTGATATACCGGATGAGGATTAGTCGGCGATCTGTTTGAGACTGTTAGGACGGGTTCCGGTTGATCTTGTAGGCGGGGTCGCTGTTGTTAGGATTGTTTGGCTGAGGGTTGAATTCAGTCATCTGCCGGAAGATGCATCACAGGAGGTTATAGAGCAGTTTGCACGAGCTTATGCTCTATCTCTGATTGGAGGTGTACTTTTCCCGGATCGGTCTGGATCTACGGTGCACCTACAGTACCTGCTTCTGATTGAGGATTGGGAGAGGGCTGGAGGGTTCGCCTGGGGAGCTGCTGTTTTATCCTACCTGTCCCGTGAGATGGGTAGGTCGACTTTGCACATTACGCATACCGGCACTTCTCTAGCCGGTGAGCTTGGTGGATGGGTCGCCCTACTGCAGTTCTGGGTGTGGGAGCGATTCCCACATCTGGCACCTCGAGATTCAGAGACGAGGGCACATCCACGTGGTCTTCGATGGCTTTCGGCCAGCAGTCGTCAGTATGGTGACCAGCTATTCCAGTACAAGCTGTTGTTTGACGCGATGGACACCGTGGTGGTTAGTATATAACATTCCATTTTATAGAATAGTTTTCATTTGTTTTATTTTTTTAGATTTAGGGATAATAACGTTAAATTTTTGCTATGTAGTGGCAACCTTACCGTGAGAGAGCACTTCATCTCAGAGGTAGTGTGATACAGTCTGAGACATTTCGAGCAATAGTGCCACTTATCTGCTTTTCATCGGTGATGTGGCATCATCCAGACCGCGTGCTCCAGCAGTTTGGCATGAGGCAACATGAGCCTCATCAGCCACATCCTGAGAGTGAGGTTAGGTTTTTTCTTCGCCAGGCTACTCGTGGGCCATCGCGTGGGCAGCAGTTGGTACACGCCTCCAAAGAGTCGCTTGATTTTTGGAACCGTCGACACGAGTTTGTAGCGACATCTTCATACACTGATGAGGAGTTAGCCTACCACTCGGAGCATATGGAGTGGTATAGAGATGTCACCAGACGTTCCGGCACACGGAGAGGAGCTGTAGCGGAGGCATTGGTTAGTTATTTGATTTGTTTGCTTAATTTGTTGTTAACTGTGTGAAATATCTGACATTTTGTTGGTGTTTTTTAGTACGACACTATCGAGCATGCTGAGGTGAGTTTGCGTGACGGTGGGAGGGCTGGAGGGCTGACCCCTGACCAGTGTGAGGACTTGGCCAACTTTATGGCGCCCGGACAATTCTTGAATCCATCTATACAAGGTCCATAAGCCCAGAATATCGAATGACCTGGTTGAGTCGAATGAACTCTTACCCAATCAATCACCGATGTTGGCATTTTTCTCTTGACTACCCGCAAGAATGTCTGCAAAAAATCGTAGGATTCTTCCCAATTTCCATGCAACTTCTCCAATGCTCTTTGTTTCCCATACCAAGCCTTCTTGTAAGTAACTTGCATATTAAACTTAACTTTCAACTCAGCTTGCACAGTTAGAACACTCAGATTTGGTTGGGCACGTACCAAATGTTTGACGGCCTCATATATCATGTCAACATCAAGATGGCGATGATCCGTCGGTTGAGTCGTACTGCTACAAGAATGCACCAACTCAGCCTTTCTCACAGTCCATTCGCCTCCAGCATCTCGACATCCAAACCGCACCATCCAAGGACAATTGTCATCCTTGTGCCTCAAGCATCTGACCTTCCAGATTGAAGGTGACGACTCCACCACGCCATATTGAAAGTTGCGTTGTAGTGCGTGGTGTTTAATCGCCATCTGTGCAGCTTGTTTCGAGTGAAATATCTGCTCCTTGTAGAATTCTCCTTCAAAACTATCAACAATAGGCATTGGAATTACGCCATATGAATCAACAAGTGAGTATTCTTCGTCCTCTTCATTACCCTACAAGTAAAAATATGGAGGATAATTAGGCACTCCTTCCCCCTCTTCCTCCTCCTCCTCCTCCTCATCTTCCTCCTCTCCGTCATCACCGTCATCATAGGCATGATCGGATGGCACGCTCCATGTATCATCTTCTTCCTCTCCACCCTGATCCTCACTGAGCTCAACATGTATCTCAGCACCCAAACAATAAGGATTTTGTGCCATAAAATTCCAAAGCACATTCAAGCTATCATCATCCACAATAGGCATTGCATAATGAAATAAAACACCATTCTGCCATTCTGGAAGACGGTAAATGAAACTTGTGATCACATCACTATCTTGTACTGCTTCGTCTCTACGCCGTATTCTCGGAATTAGATTCTCACAAAGATAATGATATGTGACCATGGATGGAACAGTCATCTGAAAACTACTACCACCAACGAATTTGACGTCCAAATTATCTTCTACTTTCTCCGATTTCCATCGAACGACTAGTTCAAATCTTCTAAAATCACTACAAAAAAACAGACTCACTAATTAAAACTAAACACAATCATAATAGCATTTGAATAATATAATTACAAAAATAAATGTGTCTCTTACCTATTAGCCAATTTTGCAGCAGCAACCAGAGCTCTCTCCTTTGTTTTGGACGATTTTTTTGTGGTATGAAACTAAAACGAAATTGGCTGGGTTTATATAGGGGGGTGGCCACCTAACTCGCTGATGACTCAGGCGCTGCCACTTTAGTCTCGGGCGCCGCCGCCTGGGACAATTTCCCACCTAACACGCTGGTGTCTCAGGCGGTGGCGCCTGAGTCTTTGGCGCCGCCGCTGTCACTTAATCCAAAATGTCATCCACAGCGGCGGCGCCTGAGTCCCAGGTGTTGTCGCCATTTTTTGTCTCCAAAACACAATATCTGTGTAAATACTTCTTAATCCGCCATATTGGTGGTAAATTAAAAAAAAAAACAATATTTGTGTCATTTATCCTGGTTTGAGACAAGATTTGGGCGAGAAAAAAAAAATCTATCATATCCAAAATATAATTAAACAAAATCCAATAGACTCTTTCTAATTCATGATCCCAACATATCCAACATAAATCTAAAATTTTAGTGAACTCAAATTTTACACAAATCACAAATGTTTCAAATCTATTAAAGCAGATTCCTCGATCAAATTGATATCTGTATTATCTTATCGCTACATCAATAATCCGTCCATACATTGACTCATCGAAGAACATTAAATGTGTGTGAACCTCACATGTAAAAACGGTTGCTCATTTGTAGTTCATTAGTCGTGGTGCATTTTCATAAGTAAGCAATAAGCAATATGATGCGATCAAGGTTGTCAAACCGGTTTATGCCAGTGTGCCGGTTTAGCAAGTGGAATGGTTCAACCGGTGGTACATATCGGTTTGTGTCGGTTAATGCCGGTCAATATTACAAAAAAAATTATAAATACTCATATTTAAACATGACATTTAACGTCAATACCTAAACATTTATACTTGAATCCAACAAATAATATCAATATTTAACTTTTATACTCATAAAATAAATAATAAAATAATTTTTATCAATTAAATTCTCTAAAATAAGGTCATTTTACTTAGAGATTCGTATATCGATCATGCCAGTCATACCGGTGGTTAGAGATGGCAACAAAACCCGAACCCACGGGTACCCACCCGACCCAACCCGGTCAACGCGGGTAAAATCCGTGTTGACGGGTTTTGGGCCGGGTTTGGGTTTAAACCCGTTCACTATTCAACGGGTTGGGTTGGGTTTGGGTTTAGGTAAACCCGGCCCGTGGGTACCCGCCCACCCATATAATTATTTTTTCGGTATATTTAATATTCTAAACAACTAATCTTATTTATGTTTGTGGAGACATGTCTAATTTTTTCTTTTTAATTGTGTAGAATGAAGTTGATGTTATGGAGTGGAGAGTAAAGAAATTTAATTGAAAGGAAGAAGCTTTCAATTAAGAGCACTTCTACTATGCTATATAGCATTGGTGCTTTAATGTACAACTTAAAGTTGTACCATAACATTAAATGTATAAGTTTAAGTTGTACCATAAAACAATTTGTACCATTATGTTATGGTACAACTTTACAACTTGAAGTTGTACCATCACATAAAGGTACAAGTTCAAGTTGTACCATAAAAGAATTTGTACCAAAAGTATACAACTTCTACTATGCTATATAGCATTGGTGCTTTAATGTACAACTTAAAGTTGTACCATAACATTAAATGTATAAGTTTAAGTTGTACCATAAAGCAATTTGTACCATTATGTTATGGTACAACTTTACAACTTGAAGTTGTACCATCACATAAAGGTACAAGTTCAAGTTGTACCATAAAAGAATTTGTACCAAAAGTATACAACTTCTACTATGCTATATAGCATTGGTGCTTTAATGTACAACTTAAAGTTGTACCATAACATTAGATGTATAAGTTTAAGTTGTACCATAAAGCAATTTGTACCATTATGTTATGGTACAGCTATACAACTTGAAGTTGTACATCACATAAAGGTACAAGTTCAAGTTGTACCATAAAAGAATTTGTACCAAAAGTATAGGTACAATCTGAAGTTGTACCATTAAGTAAATGTACAATTTTAAATTGTACCATAAAGGCAAAAACCTATAGCACCAATACTATATAGCATTGTAAAATTTCTCTTCAATTAAACATGTTATTTATGGAAAATTTGTGATTTGCTTCAATTTTTTGAGTTTTCTAGATTGGTGTTGAACAATTTGTATAGTTAATTTGTGATTTTCTTGAATTTTCTAGAATGGTGTTTTATATATGGATAATTTGTATTGAGAGATTGATATTTGACTTTAATTTTGATAAGAACTTGTAATTGTAAATTTTTTACGACAAAACCCGTGGGTACCCATGAACCCGCGGATACCCAACGGGTTGGGTTGGGTTTGAGTTTTTCAAACCCAGTGGGTTTTACCCCGGATTTTTTTAAAGATAAACCCATGGATTTGGGTTTTGGTTTGGCAAAACCCGACCCAACCCGACCCATTGCCATCCCTACCGGTGGTGTCATGCTGGTTTTATGACCGGTACCGGTTGAACCCGGTACAACCGGTGGCACGCCGGCCGGCGTGACAACCATGGATGCGATTGAAATGAGAACTGTTAATGGCGGGAACATGGGATGGTAGAGAGTAGGGGTGGCTATACGGTCCGGTCCGGTTAAATTGGCCCAAATTGATCTGGTCCAATCCGGTCTTTTCGAAAATATAAGGACCAAAGATTGGATACAGTCCGGGTTTGATCCGGTTCGGTCTTGACCCGGTCCTGTCCCAATTCGGTTTTGATTTTATATTGAGCTTGTGGGGATTTGAGTGGCCTAAGGCCTGAAAGGGTGAAGAGTTGGTTAAGTTTTGTACTAAGTGCAAAGGTTTGTGATCGTTTATGCTAATTACCCTTAAGTTTTGGGTGTTGAGCTCTCTTATCCGGTTTTTATACAGTTTTTTATCCGATCCCGAACGGGTATTTACCTCAAATCTAAGCACAAAGATTGAATTTGATTGTTTACTATCCGGTCCCAGTCCGGTCTCGATTCGAATTATAAGGTCCTGTTTCGGGTAAAACCAAAAAACTTGAACCAAATAGCCGGCACTAATAGAGAGTATGGTATGGACTCCAGTTTGAGTATTGTTTGGAGTGAGAGAGCCCGTTGGCGCATGAAATGAGTTGGAAATGAAAAAATGCAGTCATTTCCCAAGCCACGACGACTTGTCGTTTTCTGTTAAGTGTTACCCCACGAGGACAAAAGTTTTTGGGAATCGGGAATCCAATGCAATAACAAGAGAAAAAAGAAAAACTTATTAAAAAGGTCAATTAGTGGGCCTGGCCCATCTCTTTGTGGGACCCCGTTTGCCTGCCTCTACCCCCACTTTCCCCTGTTCTTCTTCTTTGGATCTTTCCTTCTCGTTTCATTCATGCAGCGGTCAACTATTGGGGGCTATTCTTTTTTCCCCCATTCCTTCATCCGTTTACAAGTAATGGCTCTCAAAGTGTATACCGTTTTCTTTCTTACTGTTTCTTCCTCTCCAAGTGAAATAAGATAGAAAAGGAACAGTGCAAAAAGTAGTTTTGGAGAAAAAGGATTCACGTTATCACGTACAAATAAATATGCGGGGACTTTACTATAGCTAGACTAGAGAGTAGAGATAGATACACGTTAAAATGGAGTTTATGGCTTTGACCACAACTTTTCTCACGTTAACATGTTCTCCCAATTACCTAAATTTGCTTGCAAAAAATGATATAAAATTTATTATTATTATTAT